GGGCTGAAGACGCAACTGGGCCCTGAGGAGCAGGGGTGCTGGGACGGTCCTGGGCGAGCATGGGGGAGAGGAGCACTGGGGGACGGTCTGAGCTCCCAGGGCAATGACCGCTTATGCTCAGTGTGTGTGTGTGTGTGTGTGTGTGTGTGTGTGTCTGTGTGTGTGTGTGGGGGGGGTACAGGGAGAAAGAGATTAGTGGTCCACGGTTGGAGTTGACATGACGGAGTGTGTGTGCGCGAGTTCCCCGTGAGCACCACGCGTGATCTGAGGGTTATGTGCAGACTTCATCTGATCTTACATGTCCTATCAGTCAGCGGTTGCCTCGATAATGCTGCATAGCCAACCACCCAGCCTCCACCRCTTAAACCAACTCCTGCCTCCAGGTCTTCGGGAGCTGCCCTCAGCAGGGCTGGTTTGGCCCTGTGGCTCCTGGCTCTGGGCTGCAGGCTCCAGGCTGCAGGTTGGGGTCAGGTGACTCTGCACCTGGCATGCTCATTGATGCCAACAGGGCATGTCTGCTCCAGGTGTCTCTTCTTGTTGCTCTGCTTGGCATGAGGCCGTTACACAGGGGCACACTGCAAGCAGTCAATCCATGTGAGACCTCAAGTGACAACATTCCCCGTGTTTGAAGTGTGTTGTGGCATGTGGGGGAAAGGCCATGTGGGCATTTATGCATTCTGTTCAACCGTCAGTACTCCCCTACGGAGCATCATAAAATTATTTTAGTGAGATGATGGATGAGGGTCCAAGGAGAGAAATGCTGGGGTGCAGGACTGTTCGTACCGTTGGAATTTAGTGCAGAGTCATAAGGCTCCTCTCAGAGGTAGGAGTCATCTGTGCATCTGTACCTTTAAGGTCTGTGACATTTTTGTCTTTCCACCAGCCAGAGGAGGCCCAGGTTCTAATTCTTTAGGGTGAGCCCAGCCACAGGGGAGGAGGGGGAAGGGAAATTAGGGTGGAGGGATGGCTCCTATGCAAACTGAGGACAGCATCCCCACAGGTAAGGGGTAAAGCCAGCTCTCCGCTGGGGCCAGTTCCCCCGGGAAGGACAGGAGTAAGTACCTTGATCCAGGAGTTCCAGGCAAGAGGCTCTTGGAGGTATGTCCCCGCCCTGAGGAGCTGGGAGGAGTGCTCTCTGKGGTCGCTTGTCAGGCTGCTCTCATGGGCTTGCAGGTGACTGAGCCGAACTTCCCCTGTTAGTTACACTTGCCTTTTATGTTTCATAAGATGAATTTTTAATTTTTATGACAGTATTGGGAAAATTTCAAAGTATCTCCAAAGGCAGACTCTAAATGTGCTGTGTATTTGGTCAAAGAATCAGGGCTTTCAGATGGGTCGGCACAGTCAAAAGAGGAAACAGGAGCCGGGTTCCCCTGGCCTTCGGAAGGGCTTGCACCAGGAGCCCTGAGCCGCAGACTTCTTTGGGCAGGAACTGTCTGTGGTCCACACGTTTCCTGGGCACAGACTTGGTGCCAGGCGCTGTGCTAGGTTCTGGACTCTGGGCAGAACGAGGTGGAGTCTTAGTCATGCAGCTGACTAAATAAGGTGCCATGTGCCAGGTGGCTTATAAACAACAGATTCATTTCTCAGTTCCAGAGGCTGGGAAGCCAAGATCACAGCGCTACCATGGTCAGGCTGTGGTGAAAGGTCCCTTCTAAGTTGCAGACAGCTGACTGCCTCCCCCGAATCCTCCCAGGGAAGGAAGAGGGTGAGGGAGCTGTCTGAGGTCCCTGTTCAGGATGGCTCCACCTTGTGATCTAGTCACTGCCCAAAGGCTCCAGCTCCTGATGGTGGTGACAAGAATCTCAGTATGACATTTGGGGGAAGCACAGACATTCAGGTCTTTGTCCTGGTGGAGCTTACCTTCTAGAGGGACCAGACCTAGAGGAACACCCTGAAGAGCCCAGGGATGAGCCCACAGGAGCTGAGTCAGCAGCTGAGGGAGGGGGAGGGGAGGAGCTGGTGACCCCTGTAGGGGCCCTTCAAGCTGTGCTGTAAGGAAGGGCGCATCCCAGCTCTGGTTGCCAGGAGGGGACTGGCCTGGCCAGGCCTGGCCCAGGGGGAATGTGCACCCCAGCTTAATCCCTTGCCCATCTTTGAAGCTGGGGCCTGTCCCTGATTGTGAGATTCTCCTTCTGTGTCCTGCCTCCAGAGTCAGAAGGCACCCTGGCCCAGGTGGGGTCAGATGACCTGCAGGCCTGTTTTGGCCCCTCCAGAGCAGGGGCGGGGCAGTGGATGCCAGGCTTAGAGGGGAATCAAAGGAGCTGGGGGGRAGGAATGCCGTCTGCAGTTCTCAGGGGCTGAATATTGGTGTCCCCTCTATGTCCATATGTTAAAATTGAGTCTCAATGTGACAGTGTTTGGAGACGGGGTTTAGGGATGTGATTAGGTAGTGGGATTAGTGTCCTTATAAAAAGGGACACCAGAGAGCTCTCTGGCCCCCTCTCTGCCATGGAAGGACACAGAGAGAGATCAGCTGCCTGCATCCTAGAAGGYACATACTAGGCCGGGCCCCCATCCCGTCTCCCAGCATCCAGAGCATGAGAAATAATGTCTGTTTTTCATCAGCCGCGAAGTCCATGGTACTTTGCTCTGGATGCCTGAGTGGACAAAGACACTCTCTGGGTCTCTTCATCCTTCCCCTGCTCAGCRGGACACGAAGGTCTGCTGCAGAGAAGGAATCTTGCCTGGAATTTTCAAATGTGCAGGTCACTTCCGAAGGAGAGGTTTTGATGATTGCTTGCTGAGCTGGTTTTTCACCTCRGGGAGATGACAAGTCTCCAGGCTGGAGGAGTGGGGGGGGGGGGACTGGAGCTAGGCTCTGGTGTGGGTGTGAGATGTGCCCTTCCCTGACCCAGATCTCCGGTAGGGGTGACGGGTTTGGAAAGCCAAGAGCAGAGGAGATGGGCGTGGGCCCCACCCCCAAGTCAACCACATTCCTGCAGGTCAACCACGTTCTGGGTGCACAGCCTTCAATCTCAAGTCCCACTTTACTTTTAAGTGGAAAAGGGACTTAAGTACTCCCGAAGCGACGTGGCTCAGATGGCTTCCAGGTTTTTGCCATTTTTTTCCATCTCTCGCAGATGGCAGCCCACACTGATTTGATGGACAGCATTTTTAGCAATTTGTCTCTGCTGAGTCTTATCTGAGTCTGCAACTCCATTTTCACGGAAGCAGATGCTTGCTTTCTCTTTGCATGCGTCCTTCCGTCCTTCCTTGGCTTAAACAGTATGCAATGAAGTCACACAATTATAATAACGMGTCGAGGTGTCATAAACAGGTCTGGACCATCACACCTGACTCTGGGTAAGTACAAAGTTGGCAGATGGGAGCAGAAGTGGGCAGATGCCAGAAAGCAGCCCCTGGCTGAGCACATCATATGCTGACCCCATCAGGAATCAGGTCTGTAGAGGGAGAGGAGGGAGGCGGCTGTCCCGTTAGCTAAGCCAGCTTCAGCAGTCTCTGCAAGGAATGCTTGTGTTTTATGATGAGTCCCCCCAAAAGCAGAAATGGAGCCAGGACTCGCAGGAAATGCAAATGATGCATGTACCAAGACGCTCAGGTGGGGGTGGGAGGAAGGGAGGAAGCCAGTGCGAGGTGGGCTCACGGCGGGTTCCACTGTGAACTAGAGCTCAGGCCTGCAGGGGACACAGAACACGTCTCAGAGTGGCTCTGTCCACAGGACAGGGAAGCCAACATGGTCACCCACCAGCTCCCACCCATCCTTGGTGGAAGGCTGCTCTCAGAAGCCTTAGCTGCCTGGCTCAGGCAGCRCCCCGCCCTCAGGGGAGCACCCCAGGGCAGTCTGGGGGAGCCCCCGGCTGAGCAGCAGAGGCAGCACGGCGGGTTTGACAGCTGCGATGCCCAGAGCCTGGATCCTTTTGATCCTTCCTATCTTAGGAATTAAAATTACTGTTTATAGACTAGAAATTTTGGTTGGGGTGACCTCGGAGTACAAATCAACCTCCGAATGATAATAATCTAGACTCTACATGTCCAAATTACAACTCATAAATTGAGATAAACCCCGATACACCTCACCACCTTTAGCAAAGCTTTTCTTTATTTTTTTAATCAGAAGAAAAGTGGAGAACTTTCATGTTGAAGAAGAAAATGTTTTAATACTTGAAGTTAATATACCTGTCTTTATACCGTGGGAGCTATAAAATGTCTCTTTAGTGTATTATCATCTGGAGTGAGACACTGGCTGGGTTTGGGTGACAGAACACTGTCAGCCAGGTGGCTGAAACGAGAAATGTATTCCTCGTGGTTCTGGAGGCTGGAAGTCCATGGTCAAGGGCAGGCCGACTTGGTCCAGGTGAGGACCTCTGGCTTGCAGACAGCCAGCTTCTCGCTGTGTCCCCATCTGGCCTTTTGCCAGTGCCATCATGGGGGTGRATGGAGCCTTTCTCTTCTACTCAGATTAGGACCCACCCCTATCATATCCTGAGCCTGTTACCTCCTAAAGCCCTACTTCTAACAGTAATCCCACTGAGGGTGACAGCTTCAACCTGTGAAGCTTGGAAGGTACAATACAGTCCACAACATGGAGGCAGCCCTGGGTGGAGGTGCTAACAATCSGGAGTCACACGTGGGAACCCCTTTACAAAGGTCCCCCCCTCCACACTGCCACAGCAAGAACCAACCCTCCAGCACAGCAGCCTGGGGGGACAGATCCCATCCAAACTAGAGCAAAGTGTGAGTGACGGTAGCAGGTGCCAAGGCCTCGGGGACAGAGGGGATGTGACTGGCAGGCAGATGASTGGGCTCTTCCTCCAAGAGGGAGGGGGACAGTGAACCAAAGTGTCCCTGCAGGACAAGAACCCAGCCTCCTGTACCTGACCCTGAGGAGCGTGGCATCCGAGGAGGCCAGTCTTCTGGAGGCTGGAAGTCCGTGGTCAAGGTGCAGGCCGATTTGGTGCAGGCCAGGGCGAGGAAAGGAATGAACGGCTGAAACTCGTCCCTAGACAGAGAGGGGCGGGGCCTGGAGTGCTGCCCTTCATGCTCAGCCGTCCAGCCGGCTTTGAAAGGGAGTTAGTTTATTTTAGACTGAGGACCGTGAGCTGTGGACTTGGTCTGTGAGATAAAACTGAGCAGTCGTCTGAGCTGCCCTAAGTTGAGGCATAGATTAAATACGATTCCAATCAAAATCTCCAAGCGGTGTTTTAAAATCAATATGCTTTGAAGCCTCATGTGCAGAAAAGGACTTGGCAAGGACTTCAAAGAAGGTTCTTAAAATTAAGAGCCACGAAGGGAGGGCTGGGGAGAGAGGCGGTACGGGMGGAGCTCGCCGGGGAGGAAATCAGGAAGCAAAGCTGTTGAAAGCTCCTGCGGCCTCCCGTGCACAGACACCGGCAAGGGGACAGCCAGGGAGGCCAGGAGCAGCCCRGAGGACAAAAACTGTCAACACAGGATGGAGCCAGCTCCCCCAAAGAGTGTGGAGGAGGAGGCTGTGAAAGCCGGTKGCAAAATGGAGCCGTCATTCAGAAGAAAACCCCAGGTCAGATGTGCACAAGGCCACACACCCAGCAAGCCCCAGGTAGATCAAAGTATTGAGTAGGGACTAACATGGCTAAACTAACAACGGAGATGGAGCKCGTGTCAGATCTGTGGATGACTCTCTGGTCTCACAAGTGGTAGACCAATTGCAGAGACAAAGATGGGCTGAGATAATGYGGAAGGTCTAGACGTTACCAAGTCATGACATGACCAGAAAAAAAAAAATTTAAAGGGAGAACATACTGGGAGAATACTTATACCAAATATGAAAACAACATGGGCTTTTAAAAACATGACTGAGGAAGAATTAATACTTATAATTATCTGAAGAGCTTATTTTTTTTTTTTTTAGAACACCAAGATCCTGGAAAATGACAGAGACTATAAAAGTCATTCATGGGAGAAGAACAAATGGCTAGTAGTTGCAGAGATGCAGGTGGCACTTGTCTAAGTAACCCATGACATGTGGTGTGGAACACTGACCTTGACTCCCTGAGGCCGAGGAGACCTGGGCACACTCACTTTTGCTGCTTGAGGCATCATCCGGGGGCCAGTGTGTTCGGAAAGCAAAATGGTGATGTGCAGCAAGAACCAGAAAGATCTACSCAATCTAACTCCTCATTTCCCTTCTGAAACTCTAAGCTGAGGAAATACCAAAAGGAAGCAGTGTTTGCCGGGTGCGGTGGTGCGTGCCTGTAATCCCAGTGGCTCAGGAGGCTGGGGCAGGAGGATGGAGAGTTCAAAGCCAGCCTCAGTAACTGCGAGGCACTGGGCAACTCACCGGGACCCTGTTTCTAAATAAAATATGAAATAGGGCTGGGGATGGGGCTCTGTGGTTGAGTGCCCCTGAGTTCAATCCCTGGTACTTCATCCCCACCCCCACCCAAAAAAGAAGAAAAGTTCACCTGTGCAAAGGTGTTGCTCTCATTGATAGCCGCATATTTAAATGGAAGGAAACATATAGAAACAGAAGTGACCTTAGGAGAGATCTCGGTTATATTGTAGCATGTCTGCTCCCTGGAAACTGTTAAGACTGCATGGAGAAGAATGAAGGGAGCCATTGGTAGGACTAAGGTTGCAATAATTGGGTGAGATTTTTTTTTTTTTATGTGCTGCTCATATCACTCCTTCCTTTCTCTCTTCCTTACTCTTTTCCTTTCTCTCCCTCTCTCCCAAGCAGAGTGGACCATGCCTGGAGCCCAGACCTGAAGTGGGCTGTGGCTTGGGGGTCTAGGAGGGTGTGTGTGGGGTCTCCTCTCACCTGCCAAAAACCATGCCCCTATTAGGTGGGAATCCAAAGAATGAAACACCAGAAATACAATCTCTGCTTTTAGAAAAATTGTGCATGCCAGTTGTGAGTATGCTGCCAGATGACCCCAAATAGTGTTTTGGGTTTGTCTGGAAAAAAACACCTCCCTCCTGGTGAAAACGTATCACATTTGCAGCAAAACCACAGATCTCAACACAGGGCGTCTGCATCCTGGATGAACAGAGAGCTTGTGTTTCCAGGGTCCTCTATCCATTCATTCCTTGTGGGGGTGGCTCTCCATGTGTAACCTTGGCTGTGGGCTCCTGCTTCACCGCGYTGCCTCCCAGGACCTGCCACTTTGCCCTTCCTGCTGCAGGCCAACCATGGCATGTGGCTGTTCTCAGGCTGGGCCAAACCCCTCCACCCCAGGTCCCTGGAGCCCGGCCCCTCCGCCCTGGTGCCTGGGCTCCTYCTTTGCCTGTTTGCTCCATACCTATCGGTACCCACTCTTTGTGGGTGGGGGGCTCCTAGAGAAGGGGTGATTCCTCTGTAYTGCAGCCTCTTCTCCCCCAAGGTGCTGCTCAGAGGGCCTGGGAATTGGGCCAGGGCGTGGTTACTCTGCCTCTCTCTGTGCCTGGGCCACCTCTCAGTCTGGCCTCTTGTCCACTCCACTTTTGATGGTGTTCTCTCAGGGCTCCCTCATCGCTCCTCCTCGTCAGACTCCAGGCCACTGCAGAGGACAGAGGTGTCACCTGCAATGCCTGACCTGRTTTAAGCTCTCCCTCCCAGGCTCCTGGGCCCACATAGTTCAACACAGGTGGCCAGGTGGTTTTCTCCTGCTGAGAGCCACAGCGGAGTTTGAATGGCCCCTGGCAATTTGCCAATAGTATTGGTTGAGAGGCAAGCCATTAAGATGATGCTGGATYGATTCAATTGTATATTAGACCCCTGCTGTCCGGCTTGGCCTGCTACTTTGAAGTTCTCACGCCACTTTGGAGTTCTTGTGGGGATTCCTGGAGAGTTCTCATTGGTTGGAGAAGTGCCGGGAGAGGGAGTTCCGGTTGGTGTGTGGTGTTCCTGGAGGAGCCGCGTGGGTGGCGTTCGGGAGAGTTCCCGGGGAACGTGTGTGGAGTGTGCTGGTGGAGTTCAGAATAAAGTTTGTTCCTGCTTGAGTGGCTCGTGATTTGTGCCCAGCCAGACTGCGGCACTCTCCGTGATCCAGGGCATTCTGTGAAAGCTGAGGGTCCATTCTGGTCTGAGAACCGTGGGGGCACAGTGGCCTTTGTCTCATACCAGCCTGATAGGAGAGCAAGCCTGATAGGGGGCATATTGGTGAAGAACTCAGGATACCCACGAGSCAGAGATGGGGCAGACAGACCCTGGTCATGTCTCAGATACCGTCCAGCCAGAACCTGTTCACCCCCCATCTTACGCAAGGTGCTTATTTGTAGTCCAAGAAGTGCTTCCGACCGGCAGTGGAATGGGTTGGGAGTGTGCTTCTTAACTAACACCTTTCATCTCCTTCCACCCGCTCAGGTGAGAGAGGGTACGGCTGCGGCTGCRGTGGGCCTGGGATGAGGGCAGGGAAGAGCATCAGGAACTCGCCCAGAGCCCAGGGGCTGCTGTGTGTCTTGGTGACAGGGAGCAGGTGGAATCCAGYAGTCCTCTGAGGCCAGATGAGTGCCACAGTTGACCAGTGACCTGAGCCCCTCTCTGGGTCAGTGTGTGGGACATCAGCCAAGCCTGGTCCCCAGGGCAGCAGCGTCTGCCTTGACCAAGAGCTCTTGCAAAAGGGCAACCTGTCCACCCATCCTGCGCCCGCGGCACATGCTGCTGATCAATTTCTGACAGCGCAGACCTGGCTGATAAATTCATCTCCAATCCCGAGGAGGCCCCAGCATGTCTCTTCCGCAGAAGTGAACTTTAATTTATTTAAATTTAATGGAAAAGCATATGGAGGGGAACAGAAAGCTAATTTAAAATAGTGCTCAAAGCAATCAATATGTTAACAGATTCCTTCAACTTTTTACGCTTGGCTGCAGGGAAAAAAAAACGCACCAAAAAAACCCTTTAAAATGTAAGCTGATCCCTTCCACACACACCCCCCCCCCCCCCCCCCCCCCCCCCCCCCCCCGCTCCTCTTATATTATGAAAACACCATTTTTGATATTTGGGGCTGAATCTTGGAGAGTGAAAATCAGCCAGTCTTATAAACATTAAAATATGCTTYTGGAAACATAAATCATCTGACGAAGTCAGAAGTGGTGCTTACTGGGGGTAACGTTAGCCAGCGAAGACTCCCCTCGCTGTGCCTGAGCGGGGAGGCACCTGGGGGGCTTCAGATCAACCATTCCCCCCGCCCTCGCACTTGTGTCTTCGGGTCTCCAGAGTGGGCGTCAAGTCCCTGGGGCTCTCGTGAGGAGTCAGCGCAGTGTGAAACCCTGCCCTAAGCTGCGAGGTGGACAGCTGCTCACATGGGGACGTTGTGTCCTCGTCTCCCAGAGACCGCTGGTTCTTTRAAGGTCATCTCAGGATGTCCCTCAGAGGAGACAGCCCTGGGGGGAGCACCCTGGGCCCCGAGAACTTATTGGATGAAGCTGAGTTTATCTCAGGAGAGCGAGGTCAACAGAGGGCTTCCCGGCCTGTTCCTGCACAGGGCTGCAGTCAGATGGGCCACCACCAGCCACTGGTCTCTTTGTTGTACTCCCTGCTCTTTGCCTCTTCTGTGGTGGAGGCAGCTTCCCAGGCTCTGCAGCAAAGGACTCCAGCTGACCTCTGCCTCCAGCAGCTTCTGCTTTACGCCTGCCTTGGGCACTGAGGTGTTGGGGGCGGGTGGGGAGCAGAAAGAGGTACGGGAGAACTTTCCACGTTTCRTCCTGGGCAATGCGCACTGAGGAAACTCACACCCCGGGTGGGCCCTGAGCCGTCCTGCTGGAGCCCTGGCAGGTGGGAGCCCTTGCACAAGTGGACATTGGGCGAAGGAAATGGGGCAGGCTTAGACGTCTTCATGTGTAAATTGCCACTTCTGTTCTCTCGCTTGGATGCCAAGAGCAGCCTTTTAAAGGGAAATCAAACCYGTTCAAAGATGGGCACCTTCTCTGGGCTTTAGAGCTTCCTCATTCCTTGAAGCACGWGAAGGTCAGCTGTTTCCAGAATGAAATCTGGAAACTGACCTTGAGCACCATCAGCATCCCAGTTCTCCTGCCCCACTCGGCAGTGGCCTTGGAGGGGCTGGACCATGTTAAGATTCTGGGGATGGTTCCTGCTCTTCGGCCAGGTGCATGGAGCCCTCATTTGCTTATATATTACAGAGAGAGAGAGAAATAGGAGGAAAGACTGCAGAATCATTTTAGAATTTCACATGTGGTCAAAATCTGCCTAATTGTATTTTCTCCTGGAAGAAGGAGCATATCATGGCTACTGAGTTACCTCCAGCCTTGTGTTCAGGTGGCTTCATTTGCATAATGTGTCCCCAATAGGGTTTCCCTTTCTGAGAGGTTGCAATTCAGGCACTGCCAGCCCTCTGCTTCTGAAAGTGCTGGCTTCATTGTCATCATTGGGGAAAACATCTTTCGCCAAGTGTCCAGTGGCCTTTAGAAGGTTCAAGAGTTTCAGGGGTACTCCAMATGGAAGGTACCTCTCTCCCACGGAGACGACAAACCTCGTGGAGAGAGGGACTGCAGGTGACCCCAGCAATGCCCGGGTGGCGCCTCAGGAACAAGGGCGTGTTCCAAGTGTGACCATAAGGAAGTCSTCATTTCCTCTTGGAAAGCCAGAAGGGGCAGCAAAACTGTGGCCCAGGAGAATGAGAACTGGAGGGCAGTCTCTTCTGAAACAACAAGAAGCACAGCCCGACTAGCACCTGGCCTTACATGGTCCTGTGCAGCAGTCAGAACAGGATCTAGAAAAACAGCTCTCCAGGACTCTGAGARTGTTCCATGCCAGCAAACGACGGCTCTAACACGAGGGGCATGGGACACAATAGAGCAGAGCAGGGCCAGGTGTCCACAGACAAGACTCACTGGTATTGGCATGTGCCAGATCGGTGGGGAGAAGCGTGGCATCCCGTGCCAAGGGTCCCTACTGTGGTAGAGATAGGTGGACTCAGGAGCCACTCAGCTGGCCACCCTTCTCACTCAGCCTCAGGGTCTCCCTTGCAGTGCCAGGACCAGGGCAAGCCTGGCAGCTGTGAGAGCTGAAGTGCGTAACCCAAGGGTGCCTGTAGGAAGCTGCCCCTGTCTGCATCAGACCCAAGCAAGCCTCCTCCTCCCTGTCATCGATGCTGACTCTGCAGGGTCTGGTTATAGACGCCGTAGAATGTCATCAGGAAGGACTTCATCCAGGGATTTCCAGCC